CCCCCCCCCCCCCCCCTCGGCTCGGACACCATTTGTGAATGGCCCCTAACTGGAGGAGCTGTAAGTGTAGGAGACCTTGGCTGTATATTATCAGTTCTAAACTCTTCTCCCTAAGGTCCAGTACTATAAGGACCATCCTTCATTTAGTTCATTGGTCCAGTGTTACCAGCTATGGGAGGAAACCTTAAATAAACGTTGAAAGACTAAGAGAAGTATTTTGACGGTGATAATATAAAAACGTTTAAACTCCTTTGTCCTCAATGTCGACGTGTAAATGCAATGCCTTGTATGTTGTTCTTGTTAAGATGGACTATATACTTATATGATATTTTATTGTATCGAGTATGTGACCTCGTGTCCTCTTATAGTTATACCCGCCTTAGCCTTAGGGTAATTTTTTAAAATAAATAAATAAGCCAACTTTATATTGTTTCATAACATTCGTATGCACCTTGATGAAAGGAACAACAATATATAGTTTGAATTATTTCATCATTTTTGAAACTTTAACGAGACTGCATGCCACCTTTGAAACTAATATTTTACTCCCTTGTAATGCCATAGATTTATTTCATTTACATATCATATGAAACTAAAATATCTCGAAACGAAGATAAGCTAGAAAAGTTGTACAGTATATAAACTTATTTTACAGTTTTACATGCTCTTTCTGCCTAAAACGCGTTGCCATTGTAACTCTCTTGTTTTCATGGTTATGCCCGTGGGCAAATATCACAGAAGACAAGACTTTGACTTTGTATAGACATTCAGGCAATTACGTAATACTATTATAAAGCACAAAGGTCCTGACCCTGTAAGTTTCTAAGGTTTGCATGCATGGCAAAAGTAAATTTGCGAACTCCAGTTCCGACTTCCCAGGTTTAGATCATTTTTCAATAACAGAAAGCCTGATTCAATGACAAATTTACTATGCTTCATTAGATTTTATCTTCAAATGGAGCTTATGTCAAAGATAGTCCATGGTGACGATTTCTTGTCACCGAGCGATCACTTCGCCGTAAACCGCCATGAAAATTGGGATATATCCGCCCTCTCAAATGCGCAAAAACCGACAAACTATTAATCGACCCCCTTTTAATTATTTTTGCGCTCAGTAATTGTAATTTGTAAAAGGACGCCATATATAACCATATTTTCTGTCCTCCAGAAATTGAAAACATGTCTAAAACGGAGAAAGAATTGGAAATGTTTACACGAGAAGAGGCCGTGGAATTTCTTCAGAATTCGTGGAAGATCAAAAACGTGGTCGAAAGAATGAAAACTGATCGAAAAAACCTTGCAGATGAAATAGTCACTCATATCCTTGAAAAAGTTCCTTTTCAGAGCATCTCATTGGTAGCAGCTAAGCCAGAAGATCGCAACCGACCTTCTTTTGAAGATATTAAAGCAATGTGTACAGCAGGTGCAAACATTTGTAATTCCTCATGCGGAATTTTACATTCTTACTTTCTTCCTGTCTTCAACAGGCATGCAATGACAATCACATTCACATTGTGTATATATCAGTGTGTAAGGAAGCGGTCATTATCCATGGAAGGGAGTTTCTTGGTAAAAATGTTGATGACCCAACAGTTAAAAAGTCAAACTTTTTTACCCAACCTCAAATATCAATCAATAACAAATACCCACCCCTGACCAAAATCGTTACAAAAAGATACCTGTAACATGAGTTTGATTGTATGTGCAATTTTCTGTAGTGTCTAAAGTTTCATGTTGTCTGCACATGTATTTTCTTTGGAGACATTCCTCCTGACAACAGTGGCGGAGGTAGAGGGGGCCCTTACGCATATTTGGTGTGGGGGCCCCTGTTACCTGTTGTCATTGTTTGACTGAGATATTATATTTATATTGAATACTTATGGATGTTCTGTAAAATTCCCTGTCTATAAAAATAACAGCCTCCAACACATGTAACAACTAATAAGAATAACTTTTGTTTTATTTGAGATGGAATAAAAAAATCAGCTACCGTTGTCGATGAAGGCTTTATTATTTAACATTTTATTTAGCTTATTAATTTTGCATTTTCCCCGCATTGATTCTTAGCCGATAGGCCGTGGCTGACCAGGGGCCCTTAGTTTTTGAACTAACCCTACCGATTGAGCGTTACGCCACTGCCTGACAAATCGAAAAATGATCAAGATAGTGACTCTGATTGATTGATTGATTGATTTACATATTGTATTGACGTGACATATGACTGTCGACATTGCTTTTTACTCTATGCTTTGGAAATGACATTGAATGTTTATTACCTAACCCTCGAGTAGTTTTGTTTTTCATTTACCCAACCTTTTACTCACTCAAAATTTTATTTTCCCAACCCTTTTCTCGCGGTGACACCCTCCGCCATAAATAATAATCGTTATCAATCCACTTGTTCTTGCGAATAAAACTGTTGTGTTTTTTAGGAGTTGGTGGGCTGTGTTACGAGATGAACATCTTCACATGGGGTTTGTTAAGAGGTGTGGGGTTCGATGCACGCATGGCTGGCTCTACTGTGACTTCAGCCGTTACTTCCCCGAACAATCACACAATCGTACTGATCAGCGGCGTAGAGCAAGATGGCGACGTGTACTTGGCAGATTGTGGTACAGGCTTCCCCATATTTCGCACAGTTTCGTTAGATTTCACCGAAGAGTCCCCAATTTTCAAAGATGGCTTTTTGGAGTACAAATATGTCCGGCACGAGGGGAAAATACTAAGAATGCACGGCAAAGGGGATATGGTGAAGCGAAATAACCCACCAGTAGAAGGCCTTGATTTCTTTATCGGTCGCTGGAGGCGGTTTTATTCATTCGTCCCAAAAATAAAGCCCTCAGAGCTCCTCAGCAAAGAACACTTCAAATCGAGCATTTATCTTACGCCCTTCACGTCATCGCCCCGCGCGCTTTGGTTTCCAGGGAAACGTGCTGTTGTCATCGCGAACAACAAGCTGATAATCGAGAAAGAAACTGGAGAAATGGTGACGACCGTCTTGAAATCTGATGAAGAAATTCTGAAAGCTTATCAAGATCATTTTCCACAACTGAAACAGGATACAATACGGCTTGCTTTGGCAGAATGGCATAGTGCGTCCAAGTCTTAAGAACTCATTGTATCATTATATTTGGCCAACTAGTTATTATAAAATGTATTTAAACATACAACCTTATTTGCATTTTATCGAATTCTAGAATAGATTATTGAAATATTTTTTGAAATAAATAAATTGCGCAAACTATTTGCTGGTCAAATTTTTGCATTCTGCTTGTAAATAACGTTTTTCAAAACATGTTTAATGATTGAAAAATAAAAAACACACTCTCCGCGAAAACTATCAAATACCAATTAAACAATAAATACCCACCCCTAGCCAAATACTTTACAAAAGGACACCATTTAGTTGTCCGATGCACATATGTCCTTTACCATTTTTATGACATGAGTTTGACAACTGTTTGTGCAATTTTCTGCAGTCTAAAGTTTCATGTTGTCTGCACATGTACTTTCCTTGGAGACAACATTTGCCTACTGATAAATCGGAAAATTATCAAGATAGTGATTCTAAGGATTGATTTACATATTGTATTGACATATGACTGTTGACATTGCTTTTTAGTCAATTCAATATTTGAGTGAGTCATGCTTTGGAAATGACAATACATTTTTATTACCCAACTCTTTTCTCTTCGGTGCCATAATGAACGAACGGTCCCTAATGAGCCACAAAGATCAGTACGTAAAGATCAGTAAAATAGGTTTTTCCTAAGCCTTTAGTGCCTGTTACAGCGGGTATCAAATTTTTCAAACAGAGTTACTCGTTAACATTAGAAATTGACGCGTCATAAAAGTTGTAAAGATCTCTATTAACTTCAAGATGTGAGATAATTTGTACTATCGATATTTAAATCAGTTATTTAAACAATGAAGTTAAGATTGGAGGCTGAGCAATAATTATTTTGGACAGGTTATAATATCAAGCGAATGTAGTGAAAATTACAAGTCCGAAACTGAATCATATCTCTGATCCAAATGGAATATGGCAGTTATATAGTTAAAAAACGCGCAATTTATTTGCCAAGTATGCATGCCTTGCATATTTTGCCACGCATGTATGCATTACATATTGTATAAATATAAATATAAATATAAATATAAGCATTTCCAAGTCACTTTGTCATTACATGCATGACATATCACAATTCGTGCTGTTTCCTGATTTCATCGCGACACGCCGACAGACCAAGTTTTGCTTGCTTTCTTGAGAGGTACGTTTTACATATATATTCTGAATAGACGTATCTGGATGCAAAGTAGATAAGGGTTACGCTTTTTAGTAATCTTTGGACATTTGCTGATTTAATAGTTTTGTATTTGTGGAAACACCACGTAAATTTATTACTGCAAAGCTTTCGATCCGTAAGCCCGGATCTTCATCAGTGCTAATAATATGAAAGCTAAAGCTTTGCAGTAATAAATTTACGCGGTGTTTCCACAAATACAAAACTATTATATTTTATCACCATGCAAACATACAAAGAACTTATTTGCTGATTTGTTTTATTTAAGAGCAGTGAATTGATTTCGCGTCACTTGCATGTGAGAAGATTCATTTCATTTCGTCTCCACTAAACACCGCGGGTTTCACGGTTTCCTCGGCTCCTGTAGTAACACTGGATCAATAAGAAATAATCCTTACTGGGCCGGACCTCTAGGAAGAATAGTCTAGAACGAGGTCTAGAACTCAGTGATAGAGCTATCCAGTATAAATAAAGTTAGTTTGGTCTAAGTTTTCTCGTGTAGTAACACTGGATCAGTAAGCTAGAGTTGATCCTTACTGGACCTATAGAGAGAACACAGTTTAGAACTGATAGAGCTATCCAGTATAAATAAAGTTCGTTAAGTTTTTAGTGTCTATAATTGCGGATCGGTCGTTCCGCAAAACATTTTTCTTCTTCGTCGTTAAATAACCGCCTTCGTACAAACCATGTCGGCCATGGACTTCACAACGACGAGAGGGCAAAGGGGACAGATTTTCGTTGAGAAGCATTTAACTGATATATATTCAGGAATCTTGCGAAGTAGCTGCAGTAGTTGGGGTGTGAGATGTGAACGAATTTTACCTGAATAGGAACTTAAATGTTAAAATGTTACCTTCAATGTAGTAATTATATTCATGTGTTACTCGTATGTTTTGGGGGCCTCGCATGGCTTGCAGACATAAATAGAATATAATATCTCTGAAGAATTTCCGACAAAGAAAATTAAAAACAAAATACTCCCGCCGTTTATTATAAAAGAACAAAATACTCCCGCCGTTTATTATAAAAGAATACTTAATTAATGCAGAGCTATACTCCTATAGGAAACCTTAGGCCTTAGCCTGTATATTATCAGTTCTAAACTCTTCTTCCTAAAGGCCCAGTGTTACCAGCTACACGAGGAAACCTCAACTAAACCAACTTTATAAACCAAGAGAGCACGTGCTTGCTGAATAACTTTCTGTATACAAGTTGATGAAAGGAATCAACAATATATAGTTTGACTTATTTCAACATTTTTTAACTTTAACGAAGCCACCTTTGAAACTAAAATTTTACTCGCTTGTTATGCCATAGATTTATTTTATTTACATATCATATGAGACTAAAATAACTCGAAAACGAAAAAAGATAAGCTAGAAAAGTTGTACAGTAACCTATTTTACAGTGTTACATGATATTTATTGTTCTTTCTGCTTAAAACGTTGCCATTGTAACTCTTCTGTTTTCATGGCCATCATCACGGAAGACAAGACTTTGACTTTGAATAGACATTCAGGCAATTACGCCAAAGCATAATATTGTTATAAAGCACAATAAGATCCTTGATCCTGTAGGTTTGCATGCATGGCAAAAATAAATTTGCGAACACCAGTTCCGACTTCCGAGGCAGTTTAGATCATTTTTCAATAACAGAAAGCCTGACTCAATGACAGATTTACTATGCCTCACTCTTCATTAGATTTTATTTTTGTGAAGACTGCAGCCAATCTTCAAATGGAGCTTATGTCAAATATAGTCCATGCTCAACGATTTCCCGTCACCGAGCGATAACCTCTTCACCATAAACCGCCACGAAAATTGAAATACATCCGAAAACCACCCTCTCAAATGGGCCAAACTATAATAGACCCTCTTTTAATGAGGACGCCATATTAAACCATATTTTCCTTCTCCAGAAATTGAAAACATGTCCAAGACGCAGAAAGATATGTTTACACGAGAAGAGGCCGTGGAATTTCTTCAGAATTCATGGAAGATTAAAAACGTGCTCAAAAGAATGAAAAATGATCGAAAAAACCTTGCCGATGAAATAGTCACTCAGATCCTAGCGAAAGTTCCTTTTCAGAGTCTCTCATTGGTAGCAGCTAGGCCAGAAGATCGCAATCGACCTTCTTTTGAAGATATTAAAGCAAGCTGTACAGCAGGTGCAAACATTTGTAATTCCTCATGCGGGATTTTACAGTCTTACTTTAATTATTTCTGTCTTTAACAGGCAATCACATTTGATAGTGACTTGGATTGATCTACTTATTGTATTGACGTGACATATGACTGTTGACATTGCTTTTTACTTTATGCTTTCGAAATGACAGTGGATTTTTATTACCCAACCCTTGAGTAGTTTTGTTTTTCATTTACCCAACCTTTTACTCACTCAAAATTTTGTTTACCCAACCCTGCCTGCATAAATTGAATAACCGCTCCTTAACTCGTTATCAACCCACTTGTTCTTGCGTATATATTAAAACTGTTGTTTTTTTTAGGAATTGGTGGGCTGTGTTACGAGATGAACACATTCACATGGGGTTTGTTAAAAGGTGTGGGGTTCGATGCATGCCTGGCTCGCTCCACAGTAACTTCAACAGTTACATCCCCGGAGAATCACGCAATCGTACTGTTAAGAGGCCTTGAGCAAGATGGCGACCTGTACTTGGCAGATTGTGGCACAGGCTTCCCCATATTTCGCACGGTTTCGTTAGATTTCACCGAAGAGTCCCCGATTTTCAAAGATGGCTTTTTGGAGTACAAATATGTCCGGCACGAGGGGAAAATACTAAGAATGCACGGCAAAGGGGATATGGTGAAGCCAAATAACCCACCAGTAGAAGGCCTTGATTTCTTCATTGGTCGCTGGAGGCGTTTTTATTCATTCGTTCCAGAAATAAAGCCCTCAGATATCCTCAGCAATGAGCACTTCAAAGCAAGCATCTATCTTACGCCCTTCACGTCATCGCCCCGCGCGCTTTGGTTCCCAGGGAAACGTGCTGTTGTCATCGCGAACAACAAGCTGATGATCGAGAAAGAAACTGGAGAAATGGTGACGACCGTCTTGAAATCTGATGAAGAAATTCTGAAAGCTTATCAAGATCATTTTCCACAACTGAAACAGGATACAGTACGGCGTGCTTTGGCAGAATGGCATCGTGTGTCCAAGTCTTAAAAACTCATTGCATGTATCATTATATTTAGCCAGCTAGTTATTATACAATATATTTAAATTTTAAACATACAACCTTATTCGCATTTTATCGAATTGTAGAATAGATTATAGAAATATTTCTTGAAATAAATAAATTGCGCGAGCTAGTTACTGGTCAATTTTTTGCATTATGCTGTAAATAACGTTTTTCAAAACATGTTTAATGATTATACAATTACTTTATGGTGTCTGTGTTTGGATGGCCTGATCCAAACACGCGGGAATGTTGCGAGAGTTAAGAAAAGCGCGCGAAACACGAGCCGAAGGCGAGTGCCAGTTTGCGCGCTTTTCTTAACTCTCGCAACATTCCCAAGTGTTTTGATCAGGCCATCCAAACACGGAAACCATGAAGTAATTGTTTTATAAAATCACAACTTTAAAAAACTTTCACTTTAAATTTCCGTATTTGGATGGCCTGATCCAAACACAGGTTTCGACCAATCAGAGCACGCGTTATATACATGTTATTTTATAATGAAAAATGAAAAACGCACTCTCCGCGAAAACTATCAAATACCTATTAAACAATAAATACCCACCCCTAGCCAAAGACTTTACAAAAGGACACCATTTAGTTGTCCGATGCACATATGTCCTTTACCATTTTTATGACATGAGTTTGACAACTGTTTGTGCAATTTTCTGCAGTCTAAAGTTCCATGTTGTCTGCACATGTACTTTCTTTGAAGACATCATTTTCCTCCCGACAAATAGGAAAATGATCAAGATAGTGACTCTGATTGATTCACATATTGTATTGACATATGACTGTTGGCATTGCTATAGTCAATTCAATATTTGAGTGAGTCATTCTTTGGAAATGACAATAAATTTTTATTACCCAACCCTTTTCTCTTCGGTGCCATAAGAACGAACGGTCCCTAAGGGACCGGTCATTATTTATGGCGGGGGGTGGCACCGAAGAGAAAAGGGTTGGGTAAACAAAATTTTGAGTGAGTAAAAGGTTGGGTAAATGAAAAACGAAACAACTCAAAGGTTGGGTAATAAAAATTTATTGTCATTTCCAAAGCATGACCCACTCAAATATTGAAGACTGAAAACTTCAATGTCAACAGTCATATGACAATACAATATGTGAATCAATCAGAGTCACTATCTTGATGATTTTCCGATTTGTTGGCAGACAAATGGTGTCTCCAAAGAATGTAAATGTGCAGACAACATGAAACTTTAGACTGCAGAAAAGTCGGTAAATTTCACAAGCCGTTATCAAACTCGTATCACAGAAGTGGTAAAGGACATGTGTGACAACTGAATGACATCCTTTTGTAACGTTTTTGGCCAGGGGTGGGTATTTATTTTTTAAATGATATTTGAGGTTGGGTAATCAAATTTTTGATTTTTTAATGGTTGGGTCAGCAAAATTTTTGGCACGAAAAACATTTCTCTTCGGTGCCACCCCCCATCATAAATAATGACCCGTCCCTAATGAGCCACAAAGATCAGTACTAAATAGGTTTTTTCTAAGGCAGCGTTTACACTGTACCGTTTTCGTAGCGTTCTCGTATTGTTCTTAATCCTCAAGGGAATGCAAGACAATAGTCTAGTTCTCTCAAACAATACGAGAACGCTACGAAAACGGTACAGTGTAAACGCTGCCTAAGCCTGTTCCAGGTGTCAAATTTTCAAACAGAGTTACTCATTAACATTAGAACTGCATGGACGCGTCATAAAAATTGTAAAGGTAAAGAACTCTATTAACTTCAAGATGTGAGATAATTTGTACTATCGGTATTTAAATCAGTTATTTAAACAATGAAGTTAAGACTGGAGAGCAATAAGTTATTTTGGACAGGTTATAATATCAAGCGAATGTAGTGAAAAAGACAAGTCCAATTATCATATCTTTGATTGAAATGGAATATGGCAGTTATACTGTATACAGGGTGTCCCAAAAAACCCGAAAACTATTGAAATAAATGTATTGTTAGAATTTGAATGCCTCAGCACTCTGCTGAACCCACACGTGCATCAAAGCTTGACATAAGTAAATTGTATGCATAAAGAAACCGTTTAGGAAGCTGCTTTAAATTCCCAAGACGGCAGAGAATCGTGCGCTTTACAAAGATATTTTAATTTCTTAATAAGTCAATATTTAATATATGCACCCTTGTCAATATTTTACGCATATTTGCGTTCAGCTTAGTGCTAGGGCATTCAAATTTTAACAATACTTATTTCAATGGTTTTCGTTTTTTTAGGACACCCTGTAGTTAAAAAATGCGCAATTTATTTGCCAAGTATGTACACTTAATTACATCTTTTGCCCACCCATGTATGCATTACATATTGCATAAGTATAAAAATAAGCATTTCAAAGACACTTTGCATGTCATTACAGTGCATGGCATATCATAATTCGATCGTGCTGTTTCCTGATTTCATCGCGATACTCACAGACCAAGTTTTGCTTGCTTTCTTGAGAGGTATACGTTTTACATATATATTCTGAATAGACGTATCTGGATGCAAAGTAGATAAGGCTAGTAATCTTTGGACATTTGCTGATTTGGTTTAGTTAAGAGCAGGAGAGAGTTGATTTTGCGTCAGTTGCATGTGATACTAGATTAATTTCATTTCGTCTCCACTAAACACCGCAGGTTTCACGGTTTTCTCCTGTAGTAACACTGGATCAATAAGAGATGATCCTTACTGGACCTCTAGGCAGAACAGTTTAGAACTGATAGAGTTATCTAGTATAAATAAAATTAGTTTAGTTTAGGTTTCCTCCTGCAGTAACACTGGATCAATAAGAGATGATCCTTACTGGACCTCTAGGAAGAACAGTTTAGAACTGATAGAGTTATCTAGTATAAATAAAATTAGTTTAGTTTAGGTTTCCTTCTGCAGTAACACTGGATCAATAAGAGATGTCCTTACTGGACCTATCTAGAGAACAGCATAGAACTGATAGAGCTATCCAGTATATAATCAAAGTTCAAGTTTTTAGCGTCTTTTAAGGAGGCCTATTATTGGGGGTCGGTTGTTCTGCAAAACTTTCTTCTTCATCGTTAAATAACCGCCTTCGTGCAAACCATGTCGGCCATGGACAGTCGCAACGACGAGAGGATGAAGGAGGCAGATTTTCGTTGAGAAGCATTTAACTGATATATATTCAGGAATCTTGCAAAGCAGCTGTAGTTGGGGTGTGAGATGTGAACGAATTGTACCTGAATAGGAACTTAAATGTTAAAATGTTACCTTCAATGTAGCAATTATATTCATGTGTTACTCGTATGTTCTGGGCCTGGAGGCCTCGCATGGCTTGCTGACATAAATAGAACACAATATCTCTGAAGAATTTATGAACAAAGAAAATTAAAAACAAAATACTTCCGCCGTTTATTATAACAGAATACTTAATTAATGCAGAGCTATAGGAAACCTTAGCCTGTATATTATCAGTTTTAAACTCTTCTTCCTAAAGGCCCAGTGTTACCAGCTACAGGAGGAAACCTTAACTAAACCAACTTTATAAACCAAAAGCGCGTCAGTGCTTGCTGCATAACCTTCTGCATGCAAGTTGATGAAAGGAATCGACAATATATAAGGAATTTGAAACTAAAATTTTACTCGCTTGTTATGCCATAGATTTATCTTATTTACATATCATAAGAGACTAAAATAAGTCGAGAACGAAAAAAGATAAGCTAGAAAAGTTGTACAGTAACCTATTTTACAGTGTTACATGTTCTTTCTGCTTAAAACGTTGCCTTGTAACTCTTCTGTTTTTATGGCCATTATCACGGAAGACAAGACTTTGACTTTGTATAGACATTCAGGCAACTAAGCGTAATAAATATTATTGTTATATCCTTGACCCTGTACTTTGTAGGTTTGCATGCATGGCAAAATAAATTCGCGAACTCCAGTTCCGACCTCCGAAGTTTAGATCATTTTTCAATGACAGAAAGCCTGATTCAATGAGAAATTTACTATGCTTCATTAGATTTTATTTTTGTGAAGACTGCAGCCAATCTTCAAATGGAGCTTATGTCAAATATAGTCCATCCTCAACGATTTCCCGTCACCGAGCGATAACTTCTTCATCGTAAGCCGCTATGAAAATTGAGATATATCCGCCCTCTCAAATGCGCAAAAACCGACAAACTATAATAGACTTCCTTTTAATGACTTTTTTGCGCTCAGTAATTGTTATTTGTAAAAGGACGCCATATATAACCACATTTTCTGTCCTCCAGAAATTGAAAACATGTCCAAAACGGAGAAAGATATGTTTACACAAGAAGAGGCCGTGGAATTTCTTCAGAATTCATGGAAGATCAAAAACGTGCTCGACAGAATGAAAACTGATCGAAAAAACCTTGCAGATGAAATAGTCACTCAGATCCTAGCGAAGGTTCCTTTTCAGAGCATCTCGTTGGTAGCAGCTAAGCCAGAAGATCGCAACCGACCTTCTTTTGAAGATATTAAAGCAAGATGTACAACAGGTGCAAATATTTGTAATTCCTCATGGGGTATTTTACAATCTTACTTTTTTTCTGTCTTCAACAGGCAATCACATTCACATTGTGTATGTATCAGTGTGTAAGGGAGCGGTCATTATTCATGGAAGGGGTTTGCACTGAAGAGAAATATTTTTCAGTAAAAATGTTGATGATCCAACGTTGATGATCCAACAATTAAAAAGTTAAACCTTTTTACCCAACCTCAAATATCAATCAATAATATATACCCACCCCTGACCTAAAACGTTACAGAAGGATACCTTTCAGTTGTCACGTATGCCCTTTACCACTTCAGCTGTAACATGAGTTTGATCGTATGTGCAATTTTCTGTAGTGTCTAAAGTTTCATATTGTCTGCACATGTATTTTCTTTGGAGACATTTCCTCCTGACAAATGATCAAGATAGTGACTCTGATTGATTTACATATTGTATTGACGTGACATATGACTGTTGACATTGCTTTTTATACTCCGTATGCTTTGGAAATGACAACCCTTGAGCTATTTTGTTTTTCTTTTACCCACCCTTTTACTTACTAAAAATTTTGTTTGCCCAACCTTTTTCTCTTCGGTGCCCCCCCCCCAAAAAAAAATAACCGCTCCTTAACTCATTATCAATCCATTTGTTCTTGCGCATAAAACTGTTGTTTTTGTTTAGGAATTGGTGGGCTGTGTTCCGAGATGAACACATTCACATGGGGTCTGTTAAAAGGTGTGGGGTTCGATATATGCCTGGCTCCCTCTACAGTAACTTCAACAATTACAGCCCCAGAGAATCACGCTATCCTACTGTTAAGAGGCCTTGAGCAAGATGGCGACTTGTACTTGGCAGATTGTGGAATGGGCTTCCCAACATTTCGCACTGTTTCGTTAGATTTCGCCGAAGAGTCCCCAATTTTCAAAGATAGCTTTTTGGAGTACAAATATGTCCGGCACGAGGGGAAAATACTAAGAATGCACGGAAAAGGGGATATGGTGAAGCGAAATAACCCACCAGTAGAAGGCCTTGATTTCTTTATCGGTCGCTGGAGGCGTTTTTATTCATTCGTTCCAGAAATAAAGACCTCATTTCACATGATCAGCCATGAGCAATACCACGGTTAATAGAAGGATGGTTAGGCTAGCCGGCAAACTTCAAAGTGGGCGGCAAACTATGTTGAGCACAAAGGAAAAAAATGTCACGTGTCGAGATAGGGGGACGCTTGTGTTGACATTTGTAGGAAATTATATTGAAAGTGT